AAAACAGTGCCATGCAAAATGAAGATGGCAGAAAAAAAAGTGCGGTGGCCAAGAGTCGAACTCAGCTGGCTAGAGCCAAGCCTCGATGCGCTAGCCATATGAGTTGGGAAGTTTTCTCGTATAGAATGCACCCGTAGCCCTATTTAATAGGTGCAGACAGAGAAAAATATTCTCTAATTAATCACTCCTTGGTATACATAATCATATCCTAAACGAACTCTAATACGAGTACGGAGGGAGTACTCCTCTAGCGAGCAACGAAAAAACTCTCCTATTTTCTTCTCTCGAGCAACGAGAATACCCTGATTTCGATGTAGTCGGTCCATTATATATTAACACCAATCCATAAAAAGAAGCCAATGGTATAGTGTGCTTAACCTTTTTTTTTTCTGAAAACAAACAAAATACTTCAGCATTGGATACTGCTAGGACTAGGAGCCTAGGAGTATAGTTTTTTGGATCAAGTTGGGAACATGTACCGTCTTCGGCCGGGGTTTTCACAGGTTAGAGACCTGTGTAGATGAATTGAGATATATATCCGTCCCCCAACTTTAGAGCATCTAATTAAGGGTAAAGTACATTTTTCTCCCTAGAACTTGAGTAGTAGTCTCATGTTTAACCTTAAACTATGAGAGCGGATAACGAGCAAACACCCTCAAGTTGTCAAAACCGGGCAAGTTTGCTCCTTGGGTTGCTTTCAATGATGGTTTTCTATTATGTAAAAATAACAAAAAAACTTGATTTACTACCTAAAAATTCATAAACACTAGTATTTCCAATCAGGAAATTATGGAACTAGTACCAATTTTTTTTTAAATGTTCTCTATTTTTTATGATGTGTGTGTGTGTTCGGATTTAGTTTATTTAGAAGGTGTTGTAACTCGATTTCATAGTTTAAGGTTGAAAAATCGAACTATGGTGTGAGTTTTAGGTTGAAAAATATACTTTAATTTACTCTCTAATTAATCACTTATCAGTTTTTAATCCTTCTCAGTTTTTTTTGATTGATCGTCGCTGTTATCCTATTTATTGGTATTATATTTATTTCCTTCCAGATAATTATGCACAGAATGTATCCAACCCATGGTCGCGCGCGTCAGCCTTACTGGAGCTGCACGCATCGCATGCACATGCACATGCACTAGTAGGAGGATATGTACGTGGATCGACGACATGACAAAAGCACACGTAGGCCGTCTCTTTTTACCTGCACGTAGTACTATGGCCTTGTTTAGTTCTAAAAAGTTTTCCTAAAAACTACTATAGTAGTTATTATATTGAATCTTACGATATGTGTATGGAGCATTAAATATAGATGAAAAAAAATTAATTGCACGGTTTAGTTGGAAATCGCGAGACGAGCGTTTTGAGCCTAATTAGTCCATGATTGAATACTAATTGTCAAATAAAAATAAAAATACTACAGTAACTAAATTCTTAAATTTCACCTAACTAAACGAGGCCTATATTATATTATGGGCTTATTTTTGTAACGACACAGTAAAGCTGTACCCGTACGCAGTCGTCGCCTCGTCGGTAGTACTCCGATCCTACTCCTACATGCAAACGGCTCTCGTACACTTTTACTACTCGTCATCATATCATATCAGCCTGGAGAGCGAGCGATCCGAACAGGTGAAAAAGCAGCTGCAGTGTAGGAGCACAAAGCTGGATGCTTCATGATTTTTACGCCGCCCGTGAAACCTAGCGCGTACAGTACAGTACAAAATGCATATGCACGCGTTGGCATTTGGCAAAAGGGTGACTCTCAGGATTTGTTCCCTTGAACTTATCAGTTAGAATTTACAATATTTTTCTCTCATAATAAAACAGTTTCAGTCGACTTATTAGCCGACTTTAATACCAGCCGAACAGCCCCATCGCCACCACACCACCAGTCGCCCTGTCCTCTTGGCATGCATGCACTGCACGAGTCCTGGGATGGGAATGGGATCCGGCAAAATGATCATCATGGCCACGGTGAAAAGCGTCACCTAGGTGTTTATCCTATGACTAAAATTTAGAAGGTATATCGGGATAATGTTGTATGGGGTGTTTGGATACTAATAAAAAACAAATTACATAATCTGTCAGTACTCCACGAGACGAATTTTTAAAGCCTAATTAATCCATCATTAGCACATGTTCACCGTAGCACCACATTGTCAAATCATGGACTAATTAGCCTTAAAAGATTCGTCTCGCAAATTAGTCGTAAATTATGCTATTAGTTTCGTAATTAGTCTAAATTTAATACTCCATACATATATATATAAATATTCGATGGGACAACGACTAAAATTTAGAAGGGCCAACCAAACACCACCTTACAGCATGTCACCGTGAATAGGATACAAGGAGGAACGTGTGTGCTTCCTGCACATGCATCAGCAGTCACCATGCATGTTTGCCGGTCAAAACAAACAGTGCATGTGACCGTCAAATCCGCCTTCAGGTACTCTTTGTTTTCATTTAATTTTTTTTTTCATCCAGTCTGTATGCACTGTCGCCTGTCGGTCTTCACTCTTCAGTGCAAGCAACGTTAACGCAACGCTAGCTACCACATGATCTTCAGAGTGGATCCAGAATCCAGCTAGCATTCCAGCAGGCCTGCAAAAAATCTCATTACATTGCTTCGTGCTTCCCAATCCCAGTGGATCGGCCAGGTTTAATGGCTCCCCAGTCCCAGAAGCTTTTGTCAAGTGTAACGTACTCCCTCCGTTCCAAACTATAAGACGTATTTTTTCTTTTTAATATATTCCTTTTGCTATGTATATAAACATAATATATAATTAAATGCATAGCAAAAAAAAATAATATATGTAGAAAATCTAAAATGTCTTATAATTTGAAACGGATGGAGTAACCATCAATGTAGAGCAGCAAGAGCTTAATTAGGGACGACCTTGCAGGGGGCACTGCATATGCTCTTTAGCAAGTTTTTCTTAACCCACATGAGAGCTACGCACCTTCTGGCACATCCAGCGGCGGTTCCCTTCTCTCTAATTCTTTTGCCCTCTTAATGAAACAGTTAAAAACGCACGTTTGCGAAAAAAAAAGCCCACATGAGAGTTCATATCATACATGTTCATTGATGTTTTATAGGCAAATAAAATCATATACAGTATGACTAGAATAAAAAACAGATTATTGTTTTTTTTTGTTGTTGTCTATCATCCGTTATCTGTGTATGTTTCATGAAATCTTACATCTTGCTTAAGTCGTACATGACTAGTTAAAACTCGATCGGTGGTCATGATGTATGTCGACTGTGTTTAACTAGCTATGATGGGCTAGTAATAGATAGAATATATTCATATTCATAACTACAATGGGCTAAAGTTTTCCTTTGGCTTTAGATAGCTATAATGGGCTAACAGCTAGAATATTTACGACAACAAAGTTAGGCCCAGTTTAGTTGCAAATTTTTTTGCAAAATGCAACTGTAGCGCTTTTTGTTGTTATTTAGCAATTAGTGTCTAATCATAGTCTAATTAGGCTTAAAAGATTCGTCTCGTGAATTTCGTCTAAACTGTGTAATTAGTTTTATTTTTTATTTATATTTAATACTTCATGTATGCGTCCAAAGATTCGATGTGATGGGGAATCTTAAAAAATTTGACAAAATTTTGAGGAACTAAACTGACCCTTAGCCTTGCTATCCATTTGGATGAACTGTCAGTCTTGCTCGATAACCCACGGGCCACGGCCCACCCAGTCCTTTTGTGCTGAGGCCTTGAGGGTGTGCAAAAGGCGTGCCATCCCGGCCCACAGCCGACAGGCGACAGGCCTCGCCCCGCAAAAGCCCAAAGCTGTGTTGCCTGGTGTCATGGACGGCAGCCGGCAGCCGCCCGGTGAGGTGAGGTGAGACCGTGAGAGCGCAACGACGGAACGGAAGCGCAAAAAAGGGACATTTCCTAGCGCACACAGGTTCTCCCGCACTGCAAATATACAAGAGAAATGCAACTCGAAGGCGGCTAGTTTGGTTGAATTTCAGGCCATCCAGTCCAAGTCCTGCCTGCCGTGATGGGAATCAGAATCTGGCGGATCGGAAGCCGGAAGCCGCCTTCATGGACGACATGGCCCGCGGAGAGGAAAAAGCTAGCATCCATCTATTCTATCTATACAAGAAAGCAAGCGTCTGGAAGGTTGGCCCATCGATTCTTTTCTCGCCCTGTGTAATGTATAACCATCACCACCATCAGATGTATATGCAGCCTCAGGCAGCTGCCCCTGTCAGTGTCAGCTCGATCAGTACGTGCGTGTGTCGTCGCGTGGTGGTGGCTGGCTGCTTCGTCGATCGCCGGCTATATCTAGCTCCGACCATCAGATATATATGCAGCCTCAGCCTGTCAGCCAGCTGCCCCTGTCAGTGTCAGCTCGATCAGTAGGTGCGTGTGTCGTCGCGTGGTGGTGGCTGGCTGCTTCGTCGATCGCCGACTGTATCTAGCTCCGACACCTTGGCCGTCGACGATCAGGCAAGCACCTCGATTTCTGTAACCACATGCCCCCCTTACCCCTCTTCTTTCTGATTTACCATATCGTTTCCTGAAATATTTCTTTCTTATTTACCATATCCGCATATCGTCAGTTCCATCGTCATCCTTTATATGCAAGAACTTTATACAGAAGAACCGCAAGGTTTTTGAAGTTGAAGCAAATGTTCTTATCTTACGTCTGTATGGCAGTACATGTACATTACATATTTGATAGCTATCCTGCAGTTGGGTGGGATTTTTCACTTGCCGTTCAGATCACTGCTGAAGAGAAGAACACTGACATCATGTTAGTTTCAGGTACTCAACGTACTCTTGACAGACTTTAACTTATATAAGAAGTAATGTTTAATGATTTTTCTCGGTTAGTATTTTCATTGTAATACTTCTCTTGGTTCCTATGCCTCTGCAGTTTCTTACATCGAAACAGAACAGAAAGCTGAAGGCGCTGGAGTTCCTCACTATGTACTTCTGAATCTCTCAATCAATCCCAAGCTTATCACCATGAAGGCTGCTGCAACTCGACGGCTTCTGCTCGTGCTCATGGCCTTCAGCCTGGTGCATCCTGTCACCTGCACCACCACTCCTGGTCATGAGAACCAAACAGATCAACTGTCGTTGCTTGAATTCAAGAAGGCGATCAGTTTGGATCCACAGCAAGCATTGGCATCTTGGAATGACAGCAATCACTTCTGCAACTGGCAAGGTGTCACATGCAGGACGAGGAGCAATCGTGTCACTAATCTTGACCTTGGAAATAGAGGTTTAGTCGGCCAAATATCTCCTTCCCTCGGGAACCTGACATTCCTGAAACACCTGTCCCTGGTGACAAACAGATTCAGTGGACAAATCCCAGCATCCCTTGGCCAGTTGCATCGCCTCCAAACCCTCTACTTGAGTAACAACACGTTACATGGAGTTATACCAACTTTTGGAAACTGCTCTCGTCTGCAGAAACTATGGCTCAACGGGAACAATCTCGTTGGAGGATTTCCTGCTCTGCCACTTGGACTCAAACAGCTGGAGATTCGATCTAACAATCTTTCTGGAACCATTCCTTCTTCTCTTGCCAATATTACAACACTACAAGTGCTTGACGTAAGTTTCAATAAGATTGCCGGAAACATCCCAGATGAGTTTGCCAAGTTACCGGAGCTACAGTATCTGCTCGCTGATAGCAACCATTTGGCAGGTACTTTTCCAGAGGCAATCCTGAATCTTTCAACTCTTTTTGCCTTTGATATTACAGTGAATCATTTTAGCAGCGAGGTGCCACCTGGCCTTGGTACCTTTCTTCCCAACCTCCAATTCCTTGCAATAGCCTCCAATTTTTTTCATGGATACATCCCTTCCTCATTGGCCAATGCATCTGATCTGCGCTTCATTGAGATAGCAGACAACAGTTTCACGGGGGTGGTGCCTAGATACATTGGCAAACATCACAAACTCTACTGGCTGAATCTTGGGTATAATAAACTTGAAGCTCATAACAAGCAAGACTGGGAGTTTGTTTACAGCTTAGGCAACTGTAGTAAGCTGCGGCTTTTGTCTGTAGAGTCGAATCAGCTACAAGGAAATGTACCAACTTCATTAGGTAACCTTTCTGTTGAACTGCAGACATTGTTTCTGGGGTATAATCAACTATCAGGTGGTTTTCCTTCTGGCATCGCAAACCTTCACAACCTGATGGGGCTAGAACTAGATGGGAATCAACTTACAGGCCAGATTCCAGAATGGCTTGGAGCTCTAAAAAGTTTGCAAGCGATGAGTTTAGCTAACAACAGTTTCTCAGGGTTTATCCCATCATCCCTTTCGAACTTGTCTCAGTTATCAGAACTTTTTCTTCAATCCAACAAATTCGAAGGGCATTTACCTGCAAGCATAGGAAATCTTCAGAATCTTTGGAAGTGCAGCTTTTCAAATAATCTTCTTCATGGCGGTGTTCCCAAAGAGATGTTTGGAATTCCAACAATCTTTTATATTGATTTATCTGTAAACCACCTGCATGGGCAACTTCCTTATGAAGTAGGCAATGCCAAGGCACTCACATATTTTGATCTTTCGTCAAATATGCTGTTTCGAGACATTCCGACCACTATAGGTAATTGTGAAAACTTGCTATACATTGTGCTGGGACAGAATAGTTTTGGAGGAAGCATCCCCATTACAATAGGCAACATAAGTGGCCTACAAGTTCTGGACTTGTCTCACAATAATTTGACTGGGTCAATACCAATGTCCCTCAGCAACCTCCCATACAACTAGATCTGTCATTCAACAACATCAGTGGTGAGGTCCCAATGAAAGGGATATTCAGCAATGTGACTGCTGTGAGGATTGATGGAAATCAAGGGCTTTGTGGTGGGCCATTGGAATTACACCTACTCGCATGCCATGTCACGCCTATTAATTCAAGTAAGCAGAGGCGACATTCCATTGTACAAAAAGTGGTGATCCCCTTATCCAGCATTTTGTTAGTTGCTATAGTCATAACTGTAATGCTTGTCTGGAGAGGAAAACAAAAAAGAAACCTATTATCTTTGCCATCATTCGGTAGCAAATTTCCCAAAGTTTCTTACAACGATCTCGCCAGAGCAACATGTGGGTTCTCAGCATCCAATTTGATTGGCAAAGGAAGATATTCTTCCGTGTATAAAGGAGAACTCTTCCAAGGTAGAACCTTGGTTGCTATCAAAGTTTTCCGTCTAGAGACAAGGGGAGCACAACAGAGCTTCATTGCAGAATGCAACGCTCTACGTAAGGTGCGGCACAGAAATCTAGTTCCTATAGTAACTGCATGCTCCAGTATTGATTCCAGTGGAAATGATTTCAAAGCCTTAGTCTATGAGTTCATGGCACAAGGTGACTTGCATGCGCTACTGTACTCAACTAAATGTGATGGCAACACCTCAACTCAAATCAACGTCACAATGGCTCAAAGGTTAAGTATTGCAGTGGATGTTGCAGATGCATTGGAGTACCTCCACCATGGCAACCAAGGAACTTTCGTCCATTGTGATCTAAAGCCTAGCAACATTCTTTTGGATGACAATATGACAGCACATGTTGGAGACTTTGGTCTTGCCAGGTTCAAATTTGACTCAGCAGCATCATCGTGCACTCACTCGATCTCGACTTCAGGTGCTATTATGGGAACAATAGGATATATTGCTCCAGGTAATACGAAGTTTCATACTGCATAATTTTCTCGTGTGCATTTATGTTTGGTATAAGCAATTCTTTTGTGCAATCTGCAGAGTGTGCTACAGGTGGAGCAGTGTCGAGTGCTGGAGATGTTTACAGCTTCGGGATTGTTCTACTTGAAATATTTTTGCGGAGGAGGCCAACTGACGATATGTTCAATGGTGGGATGAACATTACAAAATTTGTTGAGATGAACTTTCCTGACATGATAGCACAGATTATTGACCCTCAACTACTAGAAGAGCAACAAGATTTATCTCAAGAAACTTCATTTGCCATGAAGAAGAAAAGCTTAGAGTGTTTGCTTTCAGTTCTAAACATTGGGCTTCTCTGCACTAAGGCATCCCCAAATGAGCGCATCTGCATGCAGGAAGTGGCTGCAAGGTTGCACGAAATCAAGAAGGCATTTCCAAGAGAAAACTAAGGTAATATAAATAACGTCCTCTATACTTTGATAAGGTATATACTTTAAAAATTGTTCTAGATGTACCTCACTCTTTTTTTCCCCTCTTCCAGGTTGCACTTTTACCCTAGTGGCTACTGCTGACATAATAAAGCTTATCTTCTTGCACCATAACGGCAGTTCAAGAAGGAAAAAAAAAACGTCACACTAGCATGCAAGTTCTTGAATTTCTCGTGTTTCATTTCTGAAAAGAAGGGATTTGTTGTACTGTTGCCAGATGTGATTCTGACATTTGATGAATTTTCTCGTGTTTGCTTTCTGAAAAGAAGGGACTTGTACTGTTGCCATAGCAATACCAGTTGACAGTTGTGTTGTGACTGTCACGTTAGAATTGAAACCGTTGTGTGATAAAGCTTCTACCCATGGAGTTAAGTTTCATGAATCTATCACCACCTTAATGGCTGCCTGAAACGATCACTCCAGAATTTCTGAGGCTTCAGTTCAATCGTTCTGCAATAAGCTGACATAGAATAAACAGCAGGGCAAATTAAGATCGAACTTGGCTGACCAGGCACACTGAATAAAACAGCAGGGCAACCTAGGGGAGATTCACTCTAGGTTTCATAGTCACAGATGCACACATGCTAATACAGCATTCCAGATGATATTTTACTTGCAGCATCGCCACTAAATATGCTATGCTCAATAAATAGTAGTAACAACCTCATGTTTCACCAAAATTAGTGAAACTTGGGATCTGATCACCATATAGGCGAGATTCATTCTTGGTTTTCATGCTTAGAGATGCATATACATGGTTACAGGATTACTTGAGACATCACTGAATTCATGGTTACCAACCATAAGGGTTACATATTTCACCGCATCATGAAACTGCGGGTACTTGTCAAAAATGTACGGGAAACACCATATCATAGGCTTCCCTCCCACCATAAGAACTGACTTCAGTTAACTGGAGAACATGACAGTCAGCGTATTTCTCTTGGACCAACAATGTGTGTATATCGTCATCAGCCCATGATTACTTCACTATTACCCTTCTCATGAGCCAAAGTATGTGATCCTTCTATGCGTATTAGTTGTATATATATAGCTTTGCAAAAGTCTTTGTTCTCCAGAAGTTCAAGCTTTCGAGTGTCTCAAGTAAACCATCACAGCTACCCCTGTCAGAGCAATCGCACAAGCCATCAATCCATAATGAATATGCATGGACTGACTTCCATGGGATGATGATACCAGCTCTGGCAATGGCTGTGTTACTTCATTGCTGGAATCTGAGTCATCAATATGCAACCTCAAGGCCTGAAATTGCAAATTTAATTACAGCAGTTAGGAAATGGAGGTAAACAATGCCAACTAGACTGTTACTGACTGACTACTGAGCAACCTGGACTGAGACTTTCCAGACTGACTGGTACAGCCTGATAGGCCTGTTCCATGGGTCAATTAAGCCTAGGCCAATTTAGCCCAAAGTATTGATGTAAATAATATTTAATGTCTACACATACAGGGCATCAGCATTATTCTATATAGAAAATGGATACAACTCAATGATCTTTTCAGGGAAACCAATGAAGTAAGTATTTCTATGCTCCAGCTTTGCATTTCATCATGTGTATATGAATATGTGATCATGTGTCATGTCTATGTCATCCCCTATTTAGCTAAAGCATGAAAAACCAATCTAAGTGCAACTGTGCGGTGTTTAACTAAGTTGGCAAGTGTTCGGTTGGCAACTAAAACTTAGGCAAGATTCCTTGGGCTCCACATGTCATCATAGAGTAAAAAAAGTGTGGCAAGATTCCCTTAGTCATGGCAAAGTGTTGCTCCAAATTTCTTAGTCACACTTGCCTACGGTTAGTCGCGGCAAACTATGGTTACGAACTAAACAGCCCCACAGTATGATAAATACTCAAATGGTAGTTTTTAAGCAAACAAAAGGGGGTCCATATCAGAGAAGTGAAAGACCTTCAATCCAGATGATTTCGCATACAACACAGCACCAGTAAGATCAGAATTGGTTGTCAACAGCACCTTGTCGCCTTCATCATCTTCATACTGCATAGAGCAACACATGGAATTTTAGCTGGTACAATTGTTCAGTATGCAGGGTATTCTAAATAAGCTAAGCTCACAGATAAATTCAACAGTGCTTGACAACAACACGATACCGAATGAGCTACATGATTGTTCCATGAACATTAAAACAGTATCCTCTATTTGAAGGCCACACACAGAAAACATCCAATTCTTTACCCTGCAATATAACTTCTAAAAGTTGGAAACAATGGGATGTCAAATTATTCAAGCTTACCAACAGTTGAATCACACTCTTCTCATCACCCATGCCTAACCTTTGGATTACAGAAGACATCAGCTCATCTAAACTCTCAAAGCCTGAAATCGAACAAATAAGCTGTTAGCTGAAGCATTCAGCACAGTCAACTCTCTGACTAACATCATATTCAGTACCTACCACAAGTAAATCTATGCATACGTCCCTTCTTGTCCTGAAGCTTAAAGACAAATGAATTATCAACAGCAGGAGGATAAATACTACTCCTGCCATCCCTGGCATCTGATGGCATCACTAAAGATAATTCACTGTACAATGCAATAATTCAGGCAAGCATTGCATTTGAGAGGGAAGACAAATAAAAAGAACACAAAAGAAACATTAACTAAACCTGTGACTATCAAAATCCTCATCTGGAGGCTCTAGAGCAAGTGCAGAGTCCCAGAATTTCTGCATTATCGTGTTTGCCACATCATTTGCAGCACCAGGACCTCCTTCAACCTTCAGGGGGAAAAAACATTTCAGATGGACTAAGATTACTAGGATGGATAAAGCGATGGAGGGCATGGGCCATGGAGAGGGAGACCATTGAAATGGCAGCATGGGTAATTTGTAGAACGTCCAAACAAGCAGCAACCCGCCCATCTGTTCATGGAAAAGGAAAATCAGATACACAATAGAAGTATCAAAGGAGGCAACCTTAGGCTGGAAGAATCAAAGTTTACCTCCATCAAGAACAGGAATATGCAAGAATTTGCCATCATGCATGATATGTAGTGCATCAAGGATTGTTGTGTCCAATGTAGCACAGTCGGGGTGTGCAGCCATTACCTGGATCAAAATAGTAGCAGACACTGTGTGTCTAGGATGAATGCAAAATTCAACAACATAAATGTGAAACAAATGAATGAATTTAAATTCTTCTTCAAATTCCAAAATTAGAGAAAAACATAGCAGCATCTGCATAGAGAATTTAATAAAACTAATTTGAATTCGAAGATGTTTTTGGTTTTTCTTATAAGATTTGTGAAAATTAGAGAGATTGCATAAAGCGGCGTATAATTTAGAACTGAGGGGGGTATCCCTTTTGATCGGAGAAAATGCTTAAATCTACATTTTTTTTCTAACATTCAAATTGTAGTCAACGATACATGTGTTTCTTTTATCATGTGTTTATGGCAATAAATAATAATTTGTTTCCTCAATACAACCCAAAATTGTGCAACACCTAAACATGCGTCAAGCACTATGAATTGAGCAAGCTATGCTATGTGAGAGCTAGAGGGGGCCTAGGGTCCAAACCGATTACTAAAAAATGTTAAGTAACCCATGCTTACTTTGCTTTCTTAGCTTTGTTACTCTTGATGCAAACACTTGAGAAAAAGGAGAGGCCTAGTTACCCTTACCCACTACCAAAGTCTAGAACCAACTCAATTCGACGTATTTGTGCGTGCATCAGAATGAGGATTGAGGAATACAAGTACACTCATAACATGGGATGCGAGGTTTTTCTAAATAAAAAAGCCCAAGCTTTGTCGAGGAACTTGTCCTAGAAAACCCAAGAAAAATGGTTGTTGGTGACCACAATTCACAAAAAGAACTTGTTTGGAATAACGTCATAACAAATGGGGTTGTCCTACAGTGCGTTCGTTCTTTCTTTCAACGCTGACTACGACTGCGCCCGCACCGTCCGTCGGGAGGGCCCGGCCCGCGGCCGTGTCGATGTGGAGGTGCGTCGCTGGCAGGTGGGCCAGGTTCTCCGTGCGTGTGGGGCCTCGGGCTGGCTGCAGGTGCCTGGTCGCTCGTGCGCTGGCCGTTCCGGATTCGAATCTCGGCCACGGTGAAAAAAGAAGGTGCGACATTCACGTGCGCGTGCCATCGTGTCGTCGGCTTGTTGCCAACTGATGACGGGTTAATAAAGGTCGCCCACGAGTGCAGCCCGCCTATAGCATCGACCGTGGCCACTCCCACATTGGGCCCAACGTGAACTGAGACGTTCAACAAGGCCCTGAAACAAAGTCCAGAGCCTGCTCGGTCGCACGCAGGTGGGGGCAGATCATGATCGGGCCTCCGGCAGTCCAGCTGCTCCGGTCTCTGGAGCCCGGCGAGGGCCTTCATGCATCCTCTTCGTCTTTCAACAGGAGAAACATTTCATTCTCATCATCATGCATCCTGTTCGCTGGTTGTTTCTGAGCTGATAACCCTGACTGATACTGATTTGTTGCGAGAGAAAAATACTATATCATAGTTGATAAGCCCTAGCTGAAAACCAATAAGCGAATAGACTGATCGTCTTCCCACAGCATCCATACCACACTATCCACAACAGATTGACAAGGACGTTCCGAACTGCCAAACGGTGACGCTGTTAGCTTGTCCGGTGAGGTTTCTTTCTTTAATTTCCTTGCTTCAGAGTGCATTTATCTCATCTGCTTGCCGTGTGGATTTTTTCGTCTTCTGAATTTGCAGAGTGCAGCAGATCCAAACTATGTTGAGGGGAGAAACACTATATTGAGTTGGGAATTAATTACCTTGACAGGAAAAAAACCACCAACGAAAATACCAAAAACGTCAAGAAGACAATCCTTAATCGGCGGCCAACTGCCAAGGATAGAGCTTTTCTTGAACTATTTCAAGAGTCAACATTTCGTGGTGTACAATTGTGACCTACACACTTAAATGATCAAATCATATTAACATACTT